GATTTTATTCACATTAATACCAAAGTTATGATGTTATAAAGTAGCAAAATTATACGTTTCATTTAAGGTTACTGTAGACCTTCAAGGGACGATTTTTTGCAATTTTTATTTCAGGCCAAACTAAACATTACGATTTTAGCTACATTTTCCAAAAAAAATTATTTTAAAATCTTGAAAAGTGCGTGAGTTATCCACAAAAACGTGTTGTCAAATACAATAATTATTCTATAACCCGCTAGAGTGTCATAAGCCAATTAGAATGTGTCAACGGCAGGGCTTCCCGTGACGTCCCAAAACAACATCCGGAAACGAAAATTCTGCGTTTTCTGGGCCAACTTCTTTGTTCTACCACAGGCAGCCCAGGCTCTGTTGTGAATATTAAATATTCAATGTTGATGTTCATGGCTGCGATTTGAATATTTATAGCAAATGTATGAGAAACTCACGAAATACATTCTAAATGCTATCTTTTCGAAGGAAACTAACTAAAACTGACTTACATTGTGCAAGAGTTTTGTTATTTTGATGTTTGGGTGTTCCTGGTGCCAGTTTAAAGCCATTTAGACGAGTTTTACTTTTTCAGTTGACCTTCCATTATGAATAATTTAAAGGCCGGCGACAATTATGTGAGAACGGATCCAATGGTCCGCACTCGAGGCTCAATAAATTCCACAAAAATGCTCCAGTCTCCTCAAAATTACCTTCATTGCAGACGTCCATGCTCTTAGCTTCTGTTCACTATCTCTAGGGTTCCAAGGTTGACTTTAATTGCTCGAGAAACGCTCGTGTTCAAGCTCTTGTCTTTAATATTTTCTTTTGCGTTGTGTGTGTTCCCAATGTCTGAGTCACCTCATTTGAAATTCAGCGACATGATGGCCGACATCGTGACCAAATTTACCTCGACCGTGGAGAGGCATGGTGCAATTGTTTCCTTACAAAAAAAGACACCATGGGATGGTCGATTTGACCGGAAATGGAAGGAAAACAATCGGATACAACGTCGATTAAAAATTCTCCGCAGGCAGGGTTTCCTGCATCTCAATTGGCTGTCGCATCTGCGGTATCCACAGTGTTGACATATGACGCAGCAAAGGCATGAAATGCGAACCTTTAGAAGCGAAAAAAACTGACTTCGTTTTTATGCGAGTGGTTCCCCTTTTGAACAAATTTATAGGATATGAGAGTTTAACAAATTGCCTTGAAATTTGGCCCGAAGATTCCCAAGACATGAAAACAAAAATACCGTGTGAGGGATTTCCGTTTTTCAAAGTTGATCTCCCGCAATGGCCTTCATTGTAACACGTATCGGTAAATTTTTGATAAGCAAACTTGACAGAAAAATTGCAAAGCAACCAATAGGAATTTTGAGAAAGCCTCACACGGTTTTTGAAGATTGACGCCTTGTGATTGATATAATGCAGTTGTTTTGTTTGTGTGCTCGAATTCGATATATGATAAATTCGCTCAAAGAGACGTCAGTCGTTTGGGCTTTTGGGGCGCACTCTTCTTACGGTTAAATAATATTAAAGCCAAACAATTTTTACTGGATAGTGCATTTCATAACCTTTACATTGATATATAGTTTATGGTAGTTGCGTTTAAAACAGCGCGCCTATAATTTTTTTCCCGAAAGACACCCGCGAAGGTCTACGGTAACCTTAATAGATTTTGCTGTTTTAAGCGTAAACAGTAATACCATACGACCGTTTATAAAGGAGGATAGCACGTTGCAATGCGCAAAATTTTCGAGCCACAAAATAATGTCCTTCGCAATAAGTCTGAATCCGATAGTTAAGGAGGACCCCATTAAACAAAATAACTTTTTGTTTCAACAGCCAATAGTTCTCTGGTTGGTACATTAATAACAATAGCTGACATAATGAGAAATATCACTATAAGGCACTTTCTACCTTCAAAAATAACAAAACACCTGGGAACGATGGCCTTACAATAGAGTTTTACAAAATTAATATTTTTGGCAAGAATAACTTGGAACACTTTTATAGTTGATTCGTTAAATTATGCTCATATTCACAGAGAATATATTTGTCACAGGAGACTGATTAAGAATTGGAGGTGAGTCACACTTGTAAATGTGGATGCAAGAATAGGTTTTTAAAGCCATCACAAAAAAGATTAGAGAATGTGCTACCGTATCTCATCAAAATGCATTTCTGAAAGGAAGAACCATATTCGATGACGTTCGAACAATTAATGATGTCATGGACTTTATAGACTGTGTAGCTCCATTCTCTAATCTTTTTTGTATTTGTGTTTTGTGTGAGCCCCCCACCCCCCTGGAAATTCCAGTTTAGTTTCTTACTGTACTTTAAAAATGTTGGTTTTGAACCCCCCCCCCCCCCCCCTTGGAATTTCCAATGATCTTCCTTAGGGTGGGCAAGGCTGTGCTTTTTTTGGAACCTTATAAGCTAGGGTGCCTGGCAGTCAAGGTTGGTGGCCCAAAAGAATAAAAATAAGAAGAAAAAAAAAATTAATAATAATAAAATTGATTCATGATTAATTAATTAATTAATTAAAATCAATTAACTCACAAATAAAAAAATATATTTTTAAAAGAAAAGAAAGGGCCGGAAATTTTTTTTGGCCCCCTCCTTATAAACAGGTCTGGATCCACGACTGGGTTTGGTTCTTTGTAATACTTTGTCATAGAAGTGTACCAAAGAAAGACACATTTCCATGTTTTCTTAGTTAAAAAACTGATTGATATACATAGAAAAACGCTGTCTTTTTTCGTTCTATCCTTTGGATAATTTACTTGACTGTCTTCTTACAGTGCGACTACATCAACCAAGGCCACCCAAACAAATTATTTGCAAATTCTCCAGTAGCGTTTGAGTGTTAAAACAATAAAAATGCCCACAAATTTATTGCTTTCTATAGCATGCAGCTTGCTTAGATCCATAATTTGTGGAAAATCTGTTGTTAACATCCGAGGTTTCTCATTCGCTAATTTGCACAGAATTTTGTTGGGTGGCCTTGGTTGGAGTAGTCGCACTGTAAAGAAGAAAGTTGTTCATGTACACTACAATTGAAGCATAAGAATTGAGAAGACGTTTTGTGCACACTACATGAAGTGTAAATATAAACTGCTGTCTGTATTAAAGGGACTATATCACATCAGCTGGTGCCAATGCACGGTAGGGTCCACTAGAAGCTAATTTGCATACAACCTTTTTTCACAGTTAGCGGTAATCTGGAGTGAAGTATTTTATGTGGAGTAAATAAAGGTGAGTTGTAGGCTTCTGTAAATTAGTTTTAATGTAGCTGCAATTATTGTAACACTGATTTATAACTGAATGAGGTTATTGATAACATAACATGATAATTTAATGGAACAACTCATGTGTCACTTTCCGGCAAAAACATTCAACCGCTAAATTCACCCCTTGCTTTTTTTTACTTTGATATTGAGAAATAAAATTTTGGCCATTTATTTTCCGTAGCAGTTTATTCATGGTCTGAATCTTGCTAAGGCTAAGTTCCCGCTAGCGACATAAGGATCATAAGCATAAGCATAATCATAATCATACACATATTGCTTCTTATGTTCTAGTGGGAATGGTATTGTAGAACGTTTCTGCACTAGAAAATTTCTACCAGCTAAAGCTTTTCCAGAGACCTTAGCACATGTTTTACAGGAATGAGGTTGTAGCCAGGTTTCCCTCAAACATAAGAGGTGACAAATTTGGCCATTTTCAATACAGATGTTTCAATTGCGTCATATGATAACCTGAATTGTTTGGCAATTTCAAGATTTTTTTTATTCATCATGAGATTTGGGGGCCAAATCATGAGACCGTGAGTTGATACACCAAAACGTTATAGTCTCACGGTCAGAATGTGAGAGTTGGCAGGTCTGGTACCTGCCATCTTCTCTTTAAAAGAGACTTGCGACGCCGCCATCTTAAAATGAGTTCGTCTGGAAAGTACTGGAGCTAGACGTTTATTGGCCAAAACACAATGGCCCCATTGCATCATTATGATTATGATTATGTCGTTATGATTTTCACATTCCCACTACAAATAAGAGCAACATAGTCATAGTCACAGACATAATCATAATCAGAATAAAATGATCGATCATTTAATTATATTTATGATTATGTCGATCATAAGGGCACTTATGATTATGTTTCTAGGCGTTCCCACTAAGACATAAGAGACATAACGGCATTATGTTCGAGCTTATGATTATGATCGTTATGTCATAGTGGGAACTAGGCTTAACAGAACTTTGACAAAAATCATTGAAGAATGTATGCCTTTGCTGGCCGCCAAGAATGTCAAAATGAAGTTATGCTAATCGCGTTTACGTTTTATTTCGCTTTGAAAAACTATGATTAAAAAAATAAAGGCTGTTTTAGAAATGAAAAGTTGCATTAGAGACGACTATTTTATACAAACAGACGGAAATTTCATAATTTGAAAAGTAAAAATAACGTTCAATAGAAAAGTACCGTGCAGTGTGGTAAGCGCCATATGGTCAGTGAGCTTCTCTGCAAAAACAAATTAGTATGTGAAGCGAATCCGTGGTGGTTTTTGTAAAGGACCAACACATCATTGTAATATCCATTCATTGTCAAAGAAATAATATTCTTCTTCACCATTTTGTTCTCAGAATTCTAGGAAAAGGCTCAATAAGTCTGCTACTGCCGTGGAAAAATTCATTCAGTAAACTGAAGCGGCCCGCCATTCAAGCTGGTTTTTTAAAATTATATATTTTATTTTATTTTTTATTTTTTATTATTTTTATTATTTTATTATTTTTATTTTTATTTTATTTTAATTTTTTAATTTTTTTAATTTTTTTTAATGTTGTTTTTTCTTCAAAAGAAGATGGACAGCGAAAGTTGAATGTGATAAGAAACCAGCGCTTAATGTTGCTCCAAACCACGATGAATATAAAGTTGTGAGAGAGAATGAGATCTACTTTATATATCAACTTAAGCAGTTGAAAAGAAGGATTGAAAAAATCATTCAGGCTCCAACGGGATTCGAACCCATGACCTTTGCAATTCCGGTGCAAATGCTCTACCCTACTGACCTATGAAGCCACTGGGAGCTGGTCAAGTGCGACTTCTATTTATACCCGTGAAGTGATGAAATGGCGATGATGAATACAGTCGAACCTCTCTACAATGGCCACCTTGGGGCCGAAATATCTGGCCATTGTAGAGAGGTGGCCGTTGTAGGGAGGTTTCAATAAGAGTAAAGTGTATGTATCGGTGTACGGTTTGGGACGAAAAATCCTGGCCGTTGTGGAGAGGTGGTCGTTATAGAGAGGTGGCCGTTAGTGGAGGTTCGACTGTATATGGAAAAAAAACTAAGGAAACTAAGGAATCTGCCGCTCGTTCGTTCGTTGGGGAGGAGAGATTGCATGACGAGCCAAAAGAAAGTCTGCAAGGAGTCTCGACATTTCTATTTTCACTCCAGCTTCTTCGAGAGAGGCATGGAAATTATGCGATCTCGCCGTTTTATCACTCTAGAAAATCATTCTCGTGTGGATCGGCCGCACAAAAATATACTATTAATTGGTAAGTTTGCCGAGTGCTGTCTTCGAATTCACCTCTATTTTATTCTCACTTTCGTCTCTCCCTTCTTTACAAATTTCTCCATAATTTCAAAAAATGTAGAGATTCCCCTTCATATTCTTAAATTCATTGAATACTACGTCTAGTACAGTCAGTATGTCTCAGAACTGCCGTAAATATGCTTGTATCCGTTGACTTGCCAAGAACAAAATCGCAACGCCATGAGCAAAATACACTGACCGGCAAAATGGTACAGAAATCAACTTGCTGAAATTAAAATCTGTGAAATCTTTGTTTATTCGTTTTCTTTCCCCGTCCATTTTTAGCACATTATAAATTTCTTATTTATACATGTCGAATTGCGCTTTATTGAGCATAAACTATTTTTGAAGTGATTTTATTTAGAAGCTCTTAATACTGGCTTTTTTCAGCGACGCTAACCAATGAGGCGTTTCCATTGCGGACCATGATTGACAGGCTGAACACCTCGATCAGCCTCGCTTTATAGGATCGCTCCGTGTTTAAGATAACAACAGTCCAAATTGAACTGACTACCGGCCAAGAGAGACAGAACTGAGTTTAAAAAATAATGATAGAAAATGTTAATGTTCTGCCTTCAGATAACAACAGTTCAAAAATTGAACTGACTACCCAAGAGAGACAGAACTGAGTTAAATTAGAAAGTATTAATGTCCTGCCCCCGCAACAGTCAAAATTGAACTGAAACCGAAGAGAGAAACATAACAAAATATAACAAGCTGATTGTATTAGTATTTTTGGGCAGTGAGATTTCTCTCGGTTGCACTGACACATATACAGTCGAATCTCGCTATCTCAAACTCAGTTATCTCAAATACCCTGCTATCTTGAACTCAAACCCATTCCCCTTGCCCTTGTTTTTCAGTTATTTACTATCGTAGTAGATTTTACACATTGAAGCTCGGAGATAAATTTGAGACAGAGTCCTGTTCTTAAGTACAGAATCAAAGATATCTTCTTTTATATACAGTCAACTCTCTCTAAGCGAACACTACTTTAAGGCGGACACCTCCCTAAGGCAGACATGGATAGCTGGTCCCGGCTGAATTTCACTTGTTTGTCTGTAACTAAACTCTCTTTAAGGCGGACACCTCTCTAAGGCAGATAGCGGATACTTTTTTAGCAAAATTCTGGTGAAAATACCTTTCAAGGTGGACACTAGAAGTACATAATTTTTGTTGCACAATCAATAGATTATAGGCCGGATATTAATTCAAATTGACCTACTGGTGGACTTATTGTTCACTTAGCTTGAATCAAACTGTAATACTGATCAGCTTTGAAAGGTACTGTAAAATAATATAGATCTAGCTCATTCCAGTTCTAGCCCCTGATGTCACAGGTTTCTATAGTGTCAAGATACATTAACTCTTTATAAGACAGACACCTCTCTAAGGGGGTGATTACATGGCGAATTTCAGCCCGGGCTGAAATCTCAGCCCGGTTATGGGGCTGGAATTTTGTTGCGATTACATGACGAGGTTCAGCCCGGGCTGATAGCCGGGCACCAAATTCAGCCCGGGCACCAAATTTGAAATTGCACGGGAAGAGTCATCAAAGAATCAGGGGCGATTTGAATAACCTGCAACTTATTTACATATCGACTGAACGTTTGTAGAACGAAGCGTAAAAAATTCTCATTCAATGTCATGCAAATAAGTTACCGGGTATTAACTGGAACCTTTTTTCCTTTGCTGTTGCCATCTTGTTTAAAAACACAGGAGCGATTTTACAATACCCGGCAACTTATTTACATACCGGCTGCACGTGTGTATAAAAACAAAAGGACCATTCTCATTCAATGACATGCAAATACGTTGCCGGGCATTCTACAATTTAGCCAAAACACAATCACTGCGCATGCCCAAGTTCACTTTTCAGCCCGGGCTGAAATTCCATTCCGCGATTACATGGGTTTTTTCAGCCCGTTTGGCCGGGCTGAAAATTCCAGCCCGGTTTCTCAAACCGGGCTGGAATTTTCAGCCCGGGCTGAATTTTAGCCCGGGCTGAAACCTTGTCCATGTAATCGCCAACTTCATTTCAAGAGGATTTGATTCGGAAGCCGGGCTGAAATCTCAGCCCCCCTAACTGGGCTGAAATCTCAGCCCGGGCTGAAATTCGCCATGTAATCACCCCCTAAGGCGGACAGCTACAGTGTAGAGCTGGTCCCAAGGGTGTCCGCTTTAGAGAGAGTTGATTTTCGAGCGATTTTAGGTAAATAATTTTTACAAGCCGATGCAACGGTTCGACGGCTTATTTCGAGTGACACGGCAGTTTGCTAAAACAATAGGTTTTCTCTTATTTTTATCAGACCGCAACTAGCAAAATATTAATGTAAATACGGATCTTTTGGGAAAACTGTTGATTTATTTTACAGAAAATAAATTTTTAACTAAATCGACGCTACCAGACTACAGTGCCAAATGTCAGTATTTTGTGATGACTGACTCGTTACAAATAATTTTTACATTTTATCTTTCATGGCGTTTTATTGGGATTTTTAGCAGAGCAAAGTTATTCTTGATAATTTAACAGCAGATAGTTCTGGTCCAAGATTGCAACGTCCAAAATGACTATTCTCTTTCCCAGAGTGTCGTGACCTTTCATGTATCTCCTTGAACCGACGGTAATTAGACTAATTAACGTGGCGGCTTGCGGTTTATTCTTGCGGGTTTCATCTCGCCTCTGATTGGTTGCAACACAATAAACATTCCAGAAAAGATTTTGAGTGTTCACGCTCTTATTATTTTGACTGTAAACTAATAGGAAAAAAAGTCTGCAAACATGTGAAAGGTTTGTTTTTTACATTCCACAAAATTTTAATCAAAAATTAATTAATGGAACGAGGAATGAAGTGTAACTCTGGGGTATTCGAATGGTTTAGGGAGATGACATTAACTAAGGCAATATGGCCATATGGCAATATGTCTATATGGTATCTATGGTGTAAACTAATCGATAATCAATCCATATTGATTAATCAAGCCATGGATTGGTTCGAGTTTGCGGGAGTTTTTCGAGAAATCGGGAGTAAAATTATAGGGTTTGAGTGAAGCAAATGCAAGGGAAACGGCTTTTGGTTCGAGTTATCGGGAGGTTTGACAAACAGAGGGTTCGAGAAATCGAAGTTCCACTGTATTTTACGCACTGATTACAATCTTGTGAAATGTAAACAAACTTTAACACGCGTGTTGGCGGGACTTTTTTTGCTGGTTTAAGTTTTATTTAAAGGTAAATTGCTTTTTGTGAAAGAAGAAAGTATTCTTTTCTTTTAATCTTTCGCGTTCTATGAGTGAAATAGACTATGCATTGAAAACGTTTTTCGAAGGAAAGGCGCTTGTACAGTGGAACCCCGATTTAACGAAGTGCCAGGGACTGGGGAAATTGGTTTCGTTAAATCGGGGTTTCGTTAAATCGAGAACCCCGATATAACGAATTTGTTGAAAAACTGACCAAAAACTTCGTTAAATCGGGGTATAGTTAATAATTAATTTGCCATAATGTTAACTGATTAAAGACAAAGAAGATAAAGCCGATTAGATGGCCACGACAGTACTATTTTTTAACAACATGTTTGACTGTAATGGACTGCTGACAACTTTCTTAGAGAATTAAAATATTTTACTGTAGTCGATTATTCATCTTCTGTGGCGTGATGACATTTATTCGTTATATCGGGGTAGATTTTACATTCGAGCTTCTAGATTGTGTTCGTTATATCGGGTATTCCGTTAAATCGGGGTTCTTTTCCATACATTTTATTGTAATTCTGGCCGGGCTGAATAAATGTGTGCGTTAAATCGGGGACTTCGTTAAATCGAGGTTCGTTAAATCGGGGTTTCACTGTCTTGTCAGTCTTCGCTGCGTAATTTTAAAATATGCAAATTAAACTGCCGTAGTCAAATTTCGCGTCATTTTCGATCATCTG